CCAGCAAAAAATCGATTTTAATCGATTATTATTTAGAATTTAATCAAAAATTGGTACTTTTAATCGATTTTTTATGATTTTTTTTGAAAAATCGATTTTAATCAGATTTTTCGCGTTTTTTTTTTACATGGGTACTCTCTAGCCATATCTCGAATGAAAATAGCTGCGAAAAATTTGTTATGTACAATCAAAATATCAAGCGTAATACATTGACATCTATCTTTAAGAGACTACTCTTTATTGGATTCTTTACAGCACATGTACTTTGTATCTCCTTGTAAGAAAACAAAATTGTTGGACGAGACACAAAATAACATAACAATAAATCCTCAGTAAATACCATATTGATATAAAGAAAAATTTGTTTCATTAGACACTCATCGTAACTAAGTATAATATTCTAAAGAAAATAATACTAATGAGTAATTATGGTTCTTCGTCTCTTTTCGCGTTACCTATCGATATTATTTATCGCATTTTGGATCACCTTAGTGACTTTGCACTTTTATGCACTGTTCGTGATGTATGTGCACGATTAAATTCGATCATCGATACATATTATCGATATCAAGTAAGCTTCAATGTTGATAGTATATTCGTATTATTTCATGTTTTAAATTTTATCTTATTCAATGAGTGAATGTTCTCATAATTTTAATTGTTAGCTTTCGAATGATAATAATTTGATTTCATACCAATAAAGATAAATTATATTCTAATGCAAAACTAGGTCTAGTAATCATTTTAATTATAAGAAACAGAAGTCAACATATTAGACATAAAAACTATCAATGTTAAGTTTGAATATAATGTTCATATACAGAAATTAGCATGAACAAATATCGACGTTGCTTCAACTTTAAAAATGTTAAAAATATTTGTGTTGGTTATTAACTTTTGCAATAGATTTTTCGAAATTTTGTTTCTTCTTTTATACAGATGCCCGTAAAATCCTAGTTTTTGCTTTCGTATGTTTCTGTGTTTCTGTTCTAAAGAGTAAATCTACAGTACACGAGTGATACTATTCTACACAGTTATCGTTTTACTTAATTTGAAATCGAGTTTAGATGTTTTCATTAAAAATTTCATTGAAATGATTTAAAAGTTTAAAATCTTCCTAATATTTTATTAGTATCGTACAAGAATCTTCTACTATAGAATGCTAATTCATGGAAGATAATAAGAGTGTCTGAAAGAATCAGTCATAAAGCAGGCTTTTGAACAGAAGTATTGTCATTGTCTTTTATTTTCGATTCCTTCTAATGAATACCATTTCGACTTAGAGTTTTATTGAAGATGTTCCAAATTAAACAACTATGTTACCGGCGAATAAAGGTTTATTATTCATTTATTTTAATTTAACACTAATAGAATCAATTGAAATTAGTACCTCTTATTTTCTGTATGACGAATAAAAACAACTAGCATTACTTCAAATACTTGACGTAATTTTGTTTGTTATACAATTATTACATAATGTACAAGTTGCGATAAAAATTAAAATTTAGAAAAATTTATTATTGTTTTCGGGAAAAATTCGAATTTCAATCATTTCTATAGGAGAATTTGTAATATTCTTGCAGAAGAAATTAAAATTTCAATTTTCTCTTGGATAATTTTAAAATTATAATAAATTCTAATTTATCCTAGAATAAATGTTTTTTGAAATAATCATTTCTTCAAGATGAATAATAGATACAATTTGAAGAAGCAAATCATTCAGCTCCATAGAAACAATTACTCTAACAATTTTTTTGTTACGATGCAACTAGTCTGTTATTAAATGAAAATTAGATTAAATCCTTTAAGAAGTTACTTTAATTGAGAGATAATGTTTATAAACAGTAAAAAAAAAGTAATATTTTAAATTTAAAAGTCTATTGAAATTACGTCTTAATTCCAAAAACAAAATATATAAATATTCGCAATTGAATTATGAACAATTTTATTTTTAATCGAACTTTTATTTTTGGCTAATTCAAAGATAGAATAAATGAACTGTAAACTGACTAAGATATTCTTTTTCTCAAAAAAAAAACCTATAGTCGCGACAAGAGATCTATTATCATAAGTGAAAACATTTAGATGATTAATTAGGATGTTGAGCTGAGTTATTTAATCCAATGAATGCTTTCTTTCTTTATATGAAATGAGCTGTTCGCGGCAAATTGTACTAGTGCCCATTTCAGCATGGAAGAACGATGCATATTTGATTCTGTGCGTTCATTGAGATATTTTTTATCGTAACGGTAATCGGTTACATATTCTACGGATCGAATGCAGCGGTAACTACCTATTAATAATGTGTCTGCTTGACGTACGTTCACTAATTATGCCATGTTTTAAAAGAGTCAAAGAAAAGTAATGCTTCTTTTCAATATTTTACCAAAGTATTAAGAAGTAGCAGTGATCCTTAGTTCCATCACATCTTTTATATATATACAATTATCTACATTCCTTCACATAGACACTGACATCACTCAAGCTCCAAATGTATGAAATCGACCATTATGGAATCAAACAAGTAGCTGCTGTAATCCGAAACCATGCAGTAACATTTTTCTTTTTCTCTGTATCTTATATTCTTTTCATTTATACTGTTTCGATTAGACGATTTCGTCACTCGATTTCTCTTTCAATGAGATAGGAACTCTTGAAGTACAATATCTATCTGATGCATTGAAAGATAACCAAGTGAGCCTTGTTCATCATAAAAATCTGTTATATTCTTCTCTACACTGTTTCACATAGACACTCACTAAACTAGATTTGTCATATAATCGAATTGGAAATGAAGCAGCACTACATCTCGCCAATATATTGCAAAATACCACAGTTACTTTCATTCTCTCTTTTTGTCTCTATTATGCTTAAATTTTCATTTCTTTGCATAGACAATCACAGCTCTCTATTTGACTGAAAATGACATTGAAGCCGCCGGAATGGAATACATGGCTGAGGCATTACGAAATAAGACAGTGGTTTGTCTTTTTCAATTTGTCTATCTTACTTGATTATGCCATCTGTACTTATCTTTTCATAGAAACTCACCATACTAGATCTTACATGGAACCGTATCGGTGACGTAGGGGCACAGCATCTAGCTGATACATTACGAACTAACGCAGTAATTCTAATTATGCTTTCTTATATTCCATATAATGAAGTGTGCTTTTCCATATAGACTCTCACTACACTAGATCTTACACGAAATCGAATAAAGAACGAAGGAATACGGCATCTCACTGATGCATTACTACATAATACAGTAATTATCATTCTTTTTTCATACCTCTTATATCTTCTAAAGAACTTCTTCGTTTAGACGCTCACCACATTAAATCTTTGTGATAATACAATAGATACTCGTGAAGTTCACTACCTGGTTAATGTACTACGAAATAATACGGTAGCTCTATTTCTCTTTTCGCATCTCTCATATCATGTATTTGTATTTTTTCACATAGACATTAACTACACTAGACTTGGAAATGAATTCAATTCAAGACGAAGGAACACAGTCTCTAGCTGATGCTCTGAAGAATAATACGGTGAATCTCATTCTGTTTTCATGCCGTTTATACCACTATCTATATTGTTTCATACAGACACTCACTACACTCAATCTTGGATGGAATAAAATCGGTACTCTTGGAGCAGGACATTTGGCTGTTGCATTACAAAATAACACGGTAGACCTCATTCTATTTTTACGTCTTCTATACTACCATTTACGCTTCTTCATACAGGCACTGACTACACTCGATCTTGGAAATAATGAAATCGGAACTATTGGAGCAGAACATTTGGCTCGTGCATTACAAAATAACACGGTAATTCTCTATCTCTCTCTCCATTTGTGTGATATCAATATCTACACGGCTTCGCACAGACACTTACTACTCTAGATTTGTCTTCCAATCAAATTAGAGATCAAGGTGCTCAATATATAGCTGATGCATTACGAAAAAATTCAGTTAGTCTGACTTTTCTTCATCGTTCTAATGTCTCAGCCTTAACATTTTCACACAGAAAGTCACCACACTTGACTTGAGTTCCAATCAAATACAAACTATGGGTGTTCAACATCTAGTTGATGCATTACGAATTAACACAGTAAGATCAATTACTTTTGACTAGAATCATATGTATTATGATATATATGGGCATTTTTATACAGACTCTCATTACCCTATATCTCTCATTAAACCCAATCGGAGACGAAGGAGCGCAACATCTCGCTAACGCGTTACGAAGTAATACAGTAGGTTGTTTTTCCTCTTCATGGTTACCACCGTCTTATCTGCATTGTTTCCCACAGACACTCATGTCACTCCGTCTTTGGGACAATGAAATCGGAGACGATGGAGCAAAGTTTCTTGTCAATGGGTTAGAAAATAACAAGGTGAACTCTATTTTTCATTATTTATGATGCCCTCATATTTGCTTTTACTTTTATACAGACACTTACTACATTAGATCTCTCTTTCAAAGAAATGGGAAAAAGGCGACAACAGTACATGGCTGATATATTTAAATATACTGGAGTAATCTCTATTTTATTCTTATCTCTCTAATATCTTGACCAACACTTTTTCTTATAGTGTTCTGGGTTCGAAGATGTTAGGGCAAAGTCAGTAGGAAGACAGCTTCGAGATCGTCTAGATGAATTACTTGCACAAAACAAACAGCGGGCACAATGATCAATGTCAACATTGACTATGAATCATTTTGAAAAGTGAAAGTGATCGATTGAATGACAAACCAGATACTCGGTTATTTTATCGTCTTTTTTTTGAAATTTAAATAAGAAATTTACGTTACATAACATTATACTCTTGATGATGATAATTTAGTGTGAAAACTTCGGATAATAATAGAGTAGAATCATGCTTGGTCTAAGTAGGGATGTGACCCTGGTAAATATAACTCTAACATGCATACACGCATGCATGCATCATTTTAAATACAAGTATTGTTTAACTAATGGACTTCATGAATCACACGATTGTAAATAATGTCCATGTTTAATTGCTTCATGTATATAGGATAGTGAAATTGGAATTTTAGCTAACACGCTAACATATCAATTCAAACAAAGACAAGTTTGATAATACATTCATGATCTTCAACAGAAGTCTTTCTTCTATAGATAAGAATCCGCCATGGAACTTATCAAAGCCATTCATTATACATTTTATCTCACGATAAAAATAATAGATGTATTGCTACACTAAAACCATTTCGTATTCCGATGTACAAAGTATTCACTTCACAATATGGAATTCGTTTTTAATGATTTGCATTAAATTAAATTTAATAGAAAAGAATTGTTTAAATAAATGACTTTTTCATTGCTATCAACAACATGAATGATTCCACTTTTTGACTTCTATCTGAAATCAATAAAAATACATGGCAAGAATCATAACGCGATTCTTTTCAGCGTTATTTTTCAAGGAACTCATTTCATTGCATTGAGAATCACTTCGCATAATGATGTATTCTTTAAAAACGACTTAGAACGGGTTTGTTTTGTTAAATGCATTTCACAACAAACTCTTCACTATTGATTAACCTATCACAATTTTAAATAATACATACGATACAGAGAATAAGAAACAATATTTTGTTTACATATTAGAAAGAGTAATTGATTTAAAAAATGATTTTAAATTAGACAATTCAACTAAAACGATCAGTAGAAATTCAGAAAAGAATGGGATGTGGATATATATGTGTGTGTGGATCTTCGTCTTCTCTAAATAACTTACATCCATACCCATATATCTACACACCTACACTCCATGGAACGTTGGTTTCTGGGTGAAATTTTAGTTCTAAGGTAAGTTTTTCAACTTCATCAAGTGAGCTTTCATATCATCATATATTTTAGGGACATTGCATTTTTTCATCAAAATAATATGTTGATTCCAAAGCCGTTTCTATCTGTCCCAAGTTTGTTTTTGTTTCATCATGTTGTAGAATTAGTTTTAGTCTTTTAAACTGGACAATAAAAGTTAAATTATAGGCTTGAGCAGTCTGGAAAATCGAAGCTCAAAATCGGGATTTTCGATAAAAACCGATTTTGTCCGAAATCTCATTACTAGCACGGAGATGTGAAGTGCCAACATTCATGAAAATGCATCTATTGCCTCGTAAAGCGAAGTTTACATTGTAGCAACAATTCATTCAGTGGAACTGAAATTTTTTTTTATGTGCAGAACTTATTGGTATATAGAAACATAATCAAAATGTTTCTTCTATTATATATATTAAAATGGACTACGTTCGTATGGGAATCGTTCCTGCCGTACATGAAATGATTTCATAAGAATTTTATTGCAAACTTTTTATTATAGTATAAATTAGCTAATTCAAAATTTAATATTCTCATATATTGAGATAGTACAACTCTAGTATCGATGCTATATTTTGTGATAGATTCATGTTATTCTAATATGTTTTATTGTTGATAATATAGATAGTCTTGAAAATATTCTCCAAATAGGTTAGTTTTTTGAAAATTGTTAATTCAAAAGTAAAAGTTATATATATTTATTTGTATGAAAAACGGTTTCTTGAATGACAATATTTTTCTTTCAATGTTTCATTTATTCTCTTAGGTATATATACGAATCACCAAAATTTGATTCTGTCTATGAAAATCTTGTTTAGAAAATAAATCAAACATGTAATCGTTATTCTCATCTTGCGAGGGTGTGGGTGTGGGGGTGTGGGTGTGGGTTTGTGGGTGTGGGTGTGGGGGTGTGGGTGTGGATGTGGGTATGGGTGTGGGCGTGAGGGTGTGGGTGTTGATGATGTGAAGATTAACACCCACACCACACTCACACCCACACCCACATCCACCCACACTCACACCCCACACCCCACCCCCATCCACCCACACCCACACCCACATCCTTCATTTTATCATACCATTTCAAAAGAGAAGCTTTCTCATGTAACTTCATAATGAAGTTTTTTCCAGCAGCCTGATTTTGAAATTAGAGAAAAGTCAATAAAATATCTAAAGAAAAGCATAAGAATATAATTTTGCGTAAATAAAGCGGATCCATACAATTTCAGTACCGATGAATTATAAATATTAATCGAGTATCAAAGAAAAATATCATAATCAATCTATATATATATAAAATCAAGAAATTCTTATCAATGAATATGATTATCTATAAAATTATGCTAATTTAGATTCAACATACACTGCCGTCTGATAGCCGAAACAAAAAAAATAAAGGCAATATTTGAAAAATTTTTATTCAGAGTTCATATTTCATCTATGAGAATTTCTTACCATAAAATATGTGATGGATACCATTTCTAACATAGAATGCAATTATTCTCTGTATCTATTGATCGATTGCGTCACTATAGACATATATATAATGTCCGATATAAACAAGAAAGAAGTGATACATGCTCAATTTATATAAACCGTGTAACGATACCACTTACATTTTTCAAACATTTTAACTATTATTAGTCATAAAGTCATCGCAATCTTGGTAATATTTGATTAGTTAGTTTCCTTATTTTATTTGTATGCTGGTATTTGTCTTATTCAAAAAAAAACTTCAAGTCGTCTAGATCATTTCGACTATACAGAATTCTTTGTTGAAGCATTTCAATTCTCTAGAAGAATCAATATCTCTTTAAAAAAGTCGCAATACTTGGTTCTTATTCCTTTTCTCCTGCTGCTATATCATATACTCATAGCATAAAAATTAAAGTGATACGCAAATACGAAATACTTTGTGGTACACGTTATATTGAGAACGAACGTATTCTGTAGTATTTTGTTTCAACCGAATGGTTTCATAGCTTCAATTTTTTCTAAATAATAAGAAACGCGTCTTTTGACAAAACACATTCTCCAGCGCCTGAATTCGGAAAAATGCATATCGCAAACTTCTTTTCCGAAGGATGCGAAATGTTTTCTTTCGAAGACTTACGTAAGTATATATCGTACGTCTCTAAAAGTTAGTAGCACCGAAAACCGTATTTAAGCAGTAGTTAATAGTTTGCAAATAATGCTCTATAAAACTGTCACGTATCATGTTAGATTTTAAGCGAAAAACCAATAATTTATTGGAGCTTTCAATAAGATACACTTATCATCGTCAGGAAAAATAGAAAAATGAAAAATATCAATACATATGTATATACATATATATATGAAATAGGTTAATTGGTTTTGTATTGGTCTTAATTAACTTTGACTGAAAATCAATTTATCAGTTGGGAGAATTTCCTGGTTAGTTTCCTTCTAAATGCAATAGTGTCAAACCTGAAAGTCGAATTCAATTATTGAAAATCTACTTGAACTATTCAATTATTTCTATTTCATGTATGTATGTCATCTTCCTCCAAAATCCCTTCTTCGCATCCACACCTGGTGAAAAGTTAAGAATTGAATTGAATTTTTAGGTTTGGCATGGATGAACTAGCGAAAACGTATTTATTCACCTTTGAAATCGATTTACTATCAATACATCCATGAAAATTTTCATAGGGCATTTGGTTTCTTCACTAATGATTGTGTACTGTACTATTGTTTTCAGTTTTACTTACTTTAAACCATAAATTGTTTGTTTGATAGGATAAAATCATTCATATCTACAATAGACGATCACATGCATGAATGAATATTAGTTTACAGAACTCTGAAAACAGTTACACTTTTATTTGCTTCAATGATATAATTCAAGACTGCACTGAACATAGAGTATCATTTCCAAGATCACTCTGATCTCTGATGTAGCGAGTCAATGATAGAACTTAATCCTTTTCTTTCCAACGAGAATTTCAAAGCTAGATACGCAAATCAGTCTGAAAGAGAGCACAATTACATGTTTCCTACGAAAAAAATCTACAGGAAACTGTTATATTGGAAAATTTGCACTTCCTGTCGTTATTTATTTGATAAGCGTAGTATTTTGTCAATTTCAGCCATAATTACGTTCCTAGCGCTTCCATGTGTCAATAAGAAGAACTTATTGATGATAGATGAAATAGGTATAAAAGATGATATTAATAATCATTATAATTATTGTGCATTACATTTTCGAGAAGATCTAGATAACAGTCGATATTAAATGTCATCAACCTTAACAATTATCAAGATACTTCATACTACAATCAGTATGTTCTATCTAGATGTACGTATAATAAAGAATTTCTTTATTCATAAGAGTAAATAAAAAGAAAAATCTCAAGATTATCATATCAATTATCGAAGTTATGACTTCGACATTATAGATCATCGAAGTGTTTTCGAAAATGAAAACAGATAGAGACAGTTTGATATACAAACTATTTATTATCACATATTTCTCAACGATAACTAGGGTGTGGGTATGGATGTAGAAGATATATATAGGATGATAGAAAATGTCAAGCTCTG